AGGTTACCCACAGAAGGCTCCCAGTGCTATTTCGAACGGAAGCTATGGTCGTCTCTAGCAGGCATAAGGCATCTGAAAATACTTCTAGGAGTTTCAAAATTGGCCATCGGCTTCAGAATGACGATGGGAGTTGCAGTGCCAAAAATTAAGAGAACAGGGACATCCTTGCTTAACTTATCTCCAGCACCCCCCTTTAGGGTTGCTAATAAGGATGGGCATGAACCGAATCATGAAGCAAAATTCATGGCAATCTTTACCCAGTTTGTGGTACTCAAACCATAATTTGTGATGGGTCTACCATCACAAACCTCAACGAACTTTTAAAGCACTTTGTGGTGGTTTGTGGCTAGAGCAGAAAGCAGGGGTTTAAAGGGACTCCAAGTCTCTTTAACCCCCTGCTTTCTCTTCCCCACTGCTGTCCAGTCCCTTTAAAGTTAAAGGGGCTGCACAAGGAAAGCCAAAAAACAGCTGAGCAGTGGCAAGTGACCTGCTCCTCATTTTCAGGCTTTCTTGTGCAGTCCCTTTGGGCAAACCCTGTTTAAAGGGACTGTGGTCCCTTTCAACAGAGTTTGCTGGGGGCCATGAACTGGTTTATTTTGCCAGTGAGCCTACTAGTCTGGTTTGTGGTTCAGTTCACGGTTTGACCATGAACCACGAACCTAGCTGCATTTTTTTAGTTTGTGCCCATGCCCATCCCTAATTGTAACCCCAAAGTGGGGCTTGGTGTTCTCCTGGAATGATCTCCTGACTACAGAGATCAGTTCCTCTAAAGAAAATGGCAACTTAGGATGGTGGACTCTACACCATGACTTCCCTGATGAGCTGCCTCCTTTCCCAAATTCTGCCCTAACTTAGGTTCCACCACCAAATCACCAGATCACCAGAAATATTACCACCTAGTGTTAGCAATCTTGGCAATGCAATTTGCAATAGAAACTAAGATTTTCTGCAGTTAACTCATTTGTAAATCAAGCTAGAAGCCTCCTAATTGACCACCATCTTCAGGATGATCATGGGAGCTGCAGTGATTAAAATGCAGGGAATAGGAAAATCCTGGCCAGGGTTATCTGAAGCACCCACCCACCCACAGATACACTATTTCCAATGGAATTTATGTTTGTTTCTCACAGGTATAACTCATCAGAAAAGAAGACTGGGGTCCCAAACTGGCCATCAGTTTCAGGATGACGATGGGACATGCAGTGCCAAAAAGGGAAGGGTATTGGACCATCTGGGCACAGATCAATTCCCCAACATCCCTCTGATATTTGGAAAGCAAGTAAAGAGTTACTCATGAGAAACCAGGGAAGGTGCAAGCATCACAGATAGGGAGGGTGGAAATGCCCCCTCTGTGACAAAACAAAGGAGGTTTAACAGCTTCTGTGACTTATTGGAGTTTGTGTTTTGGTGCCAAGACTAAGAAGGCCTTTTGTGTACATATTAGGGAGAAGGGCAGCAAAGACAAGGGTCACAAAATGGATATCCTCCATTAAAAGGGGGGGGGGTTAAGGACATCCCTGAGCTATCACAGCCAGTGTAGTATAGTTGTTGGAGTATCTGACTCAGATCAAAGAGATCCAGGTTCGAATCCCACATTGGCTACAGAAGCTTGCTGGTTGAACTTGGGCCAATCACATTCTCTCATCCTCACCTACCTGACAGAATTGTTATTGTGAGAATAAAACGGATGAGAAAGGATCAGTGTAAGCCACTTTGGGTCCCCAGTGGGATGAGCTAGGGTATGAGATCTGTTCAAATTTGTTCAAATTTAATTTTGTCTACAGCTCACCAGCAAATAGGGTTGCCAGCTCTGGGTTGGGAATCATTGGGTTTGGTGAGAGGAGGGACCTCAACAGGTTACAATGTCATACAGTCCACCTTCCAAAGCAGCCATTGGCTTCATGAGAACTGATCTCTGTTACCAGGACATCAGTTCTAATTCAGGGAGATATCCAGTACCAAGAACCACAAGGGTAAGAAAGAAGTTAAATAAAGGGCCAGTAATAATAAACAAAAATACATGTATTTATTAGAAAGACAGTTAAAAACATGTAAGGGCCCAATGAAGTAAAGGTGGCCTAAAGACAAGGGCCTATAGGGCGGAAATGTGTCAAGTCATGTGTATTGGCCCGGAACCTCTTTGACAGAAATATATATATACTGAAAACTTCATTTCCTTCTTGGGAGTTCCAGCACCTCTTTTTCCTAAAACAAACCCCTGACTGCTTAGCATAACTAGTATAAAACAAGGGGGTGTCAGTTAAAAAAGAAGGGCCTCTATAGTCCTAAACAGAATGGGCTGTACTCCCACTTGACATTTTGGAGGTCATTAATACATTGGAAAACTTCACACACACACACACACACACACACACCTGCTTCTGTAGTTCAAGGACTGGTACCATAATAATATAATATGGACCAATTTTCATGGCCAAACTGGTCATCGGAGCATCATTGTTTCCTGTTTTAACTTGATTGTGTTTACACTTCCTTTACATGACAGATTTAATGTATGTAACAGCTATTCTGTCTCCCCAAAGATAAAACACTGCAATAAAGCAATATGATTGCATGGTAGTTGCATTAGAAATTTTTTTTTCATGCAATGCATAGGGCTACCTCTACACTTCAGTAAAACTTATTTCCTGGTGTCCACTTGCTTCTTCAGACTTGTGGCTAAAATCCAAAAACTGTTGACTGGAACTGAAACTTTTCTTTTACTTTAGCTACTTCATCTATACCTCACTTTACCTACTTCATTCATAGCTCGCCTTTTTCCCCAGTGGGGATGCAAAACAGCTTAGTTTATATCAAGCGTCCATGGTATCCCTCACACCTGTCAAATCATAGTTGTTTCTGAAAGTTAGTGTCACTCATAGAGCAGAGGGGGTCAACAGAAAAAAAATCTTCTAATATCTGTTTTTAAATGTATCCAGGGCTATTTTGGGGCAGAAACGCACAGGAACGGAGTTCCGGCTGGCTCCCAAGTTGGTCATATCCAGCAGGAACTCATTAGCATAGTAGGCCACACCCAACATCAGAAACTCATTAGGACTGGCTACATTAGGGATGTGTGGCCTAGCATGCAAAGGGTTCCTGCTACAAAAAAAAGCCCTGGGTTTTGACAACAAACAAGGTAAACAGAATAAGAAGCAAAAGGTGAGTGTGGCTGGATGACCATACTTCTGGTAATGTGGGGTGTGGCCTAATATGCTAATGAGCTGCTCTCTCAGAGGTGTGGCCTAATATGCTAATGAGTTCCTGCTGCTAGATGTGGCCTGTTATGCTAATGAGTTCCTGCTGTGCTTTTTCTACAAAAAAGCCCTGAATATATCTATATACTGTTTTATTGCAATACTACTTTTAAGTGTTTTATTAAAGTGGCCTTTAGTACCTGTATCTAAGGCAACTTTATTGGAAAGTCTAAGTTGAAAAGTTTTAATTGCCCAATAAAGTTTTAATTGATCCTCGAAAGATGGTAGGGTGTTTTCAGGAAACACCCTTGGGTGCCCTTAAGAAATTATAATTCACAAATAGTTTGGATTTATCGACACGACTGATTTCAAATTAAGACAAGTGGTAGCGCTGCAGAGTTCTGTTGATTTAAATAGAATCTGGTCTTATGCAGAAGCAAGAGGAGAAGGTTTAGGTATTCCCATACCTGCTTGCAGAACCTGTCAAGAACCTTTGAATGATACGACAGACTTAAAAAAAAATCTTAATAAATAGCAGTAATAAATGTAATCAAGAACAGTCCATTTTTCAAGACATAATTCTCAGAAACAGAACTGATGGAAATAGATGGAAGATTCCACTACCTGAAAGGGGGTTAGGTTTTAATTAATTACTTATCCCAGTGTTATGTCAAGGATTCCAAATACCTCTTTGGATACCAAGAAAGAAGAAGAGCATCTTCAAGTGGGCTTCATCATCGTTTTCATCTTTGATACATAAAGTAAAATATTTGGACTGAGAAACATCCTCTTTTCTGGCTTTTTAGAAGGCCATGATATTAAATATCAGATTTTAGGGGCATCTAAAGGCCTAATTCCGAGAGCTGCAATTTTTTTACTATTCTGATTTTTTTTGGTTTAATATTAATTTAGTGCAGCATAAATATACCCTTATGAGAACCTAAGAACTCATAGTCAATTGTCATTCCCTGTTCATAAGAAGAACCTAAGGTTCAGTTTATACATAAGGTAGAACTGAGTAGTCCCCCCCCCCCCCGTGATAATCGTTTCCGTTGGAACTAATAGTGACTGCATGAGGGAATGAATCAGTGCTGTAAAACACACACACATACCCACGCAGATGATGTTTTCTATATACTAGAGTATCAGAGAAAAGGGTGCAATCAACTCTTTTCACTGAAGAATGTTGATCTTTTTCAGGTGAAGGGGAACTTTTATTTAGAGAAAGCATTCAAATTTGCAAACTCATCTTCAACTTGAAATAGGACAATCCAGGTAAGAACATAACCATTATCCCCATAATCTGTGCTCAGTGTTATGTCCCCATTTAACTGCATGTTCACCTGACTCTCTTATCCCTTTATTTTATCTCTATTTCACATTATTATTATTATTATTATTATTATTATTATTATTATTATTATTATTATTATTATTATTATTATTATTATT